AATATGCTATTGCATGAAACCGATGTATACAGGGTCATATCAAAGTGCACTTGAATTCAGTTATTTGGAAATATCTCACATTTAGTTAAAGCTCCTTATTATAAATTCAACAATATTGGGTTTGATGTTTTTTTTCCAAAGACTACATTTTCCCACATGTATTCTGCTGCGAAAATTTCATGGCTATTTTGATAACGACATTGTGAAGTGATATTGAATATCTACAGGTCAATATTTTTCACGCTGATGCCATTATACTGACCATATCTTCGTAATCGTCTGAAAAAATTCCATCGAACCCAATATTTTTCAAATCGTAATGATAAGCTCTACTCAATTATGAGAAAATATACTGGGTGGTCCTATTTGAGCGAAAAAGTTCGAGTGCACTCGGTGTGACTCAATGTATACATTCGATTTATTCAACAGCATATTTCGATCATTCTAGGTAACCAGATTTTGAATCCAATATACAGGGTGTTGCGAAATTCGACCGACAACGCTTGACAGGAGATAGCCCTCGTGATTTCATAATCACTGAGATAGGGACATACGGTCTTCAAGTGTTCAGTTCCCCAGATACAGGGTGTGGAGTTAAGAAATATAAGTAGTTTCGCAATATCTCAAGAATGATTGAATATAATGTATTCAAATTCGGTAGGTATATGGTTTCATATTTGAATTGGTCTTTATTTGACAAGAGAGCCATTTCGGACATTTCATTCAGTAGTTCCCTACAGGGGGTTGTGGTAACTTCTCCTCCCATGTTTTCTACGCCACTGATTTAATTCTGATTATTTTCAATTCCTCGTATTCATTGTTCAATTTTGTTCAAGAAATAGATCACCTTCAACTGAGGTAAAATAAACAGTTGTCGAGATATTCGACCCAAAATAGATGATTGCATAGTAATATTTCATCATTGTCAGTAGTAGAGAATTGCAGAAATATTTTTCTTGGCTTGAGTAGAATAAATACTATCCAGATCTCATTCTGTAGCTGAACAGAAAAAGTTATTTCACGCGAAGAGAGAAAACAAATATTTTCATGATTTTCTTCTACTGCTGAAGATGAAAAATTATTATGAAAACTTCTTTTTTCAATCAAATATCTCGATATCTGTTCATTTTAGCTCAGTTGAAGCTGATGCATTTTTTCAACATGATTGAACAATCAATTCGACGAATTGAGAATAATTGAAATTTCATCAGTGGCGTAGAAAATATGGAAGGAAAAGTTATCACAACCCCCTGTAGCACACCTCTGGATAAAATTCACGGAATGTCTTTCTAGTCAAAAAATGGATCATTGAAAGATGAAACCATATACCGAATTTTAATGCATCATATTTAATTTTTCTAGAGGTATTTCTATTTCAATTTCTCAACTTCAACGCCCTGTATCTCGAGAACTGAACACTCGAAGACCGTATGTCCCCATTTCAGTGATTATGAAATCACGATGGGCTATCACCTGTCGAGCTTTGTCGGTCGAATTTCGTAACACCCTGTATATTATATTGTTCTGTTGAATGAATCTTTTTTTATTTTTGCGTTTCCAAAATTATTTTTTCGAATTCATATCCATTTCTGATAACCCACTGGAATCAATCGGAAAAAATGTCAAACTACGGCATAATTCATACAACCTTGCTTCCTACTTATCGCGTGATATCAACTTATTATACACGAAACACATTTCGAACGAAATTCTCTGTCATCGAGTATTTCGGAAAACATCAGAGCAAAATTACTCCTCTGAAGGGGTAGATCTAAATAATTTCACTAGTGCGAACTAGAAATGCTCGGTCAGCAAAGGTTCTTGAGAAACAGATAGATTAAACTACACCTATGAAGAGATCTATCGAAATTATTTTACTGATGGCATCTATTATATATCTATATAAAATATGCAATTTGAAGCAGAAACTCGTACCAGAAATGCTCGGTCAGCGAGGAATCATGGGAAACAGCAAGTATAAACTACCCCTCTGAAGAGGTGGATCGAAGTTATTTTCCTTCTCTTTATATTATCACATAATATTCAGATATGTTATTTGGAAAAAAATACGAACCAGGAATGCTCGGTCAGCAAAGATTTTTGTAAATCAGCAAGAATAAACTACCCATCTGAAGGGGTGGATCCAATTCATTCCACTGGTGGCATCTGCATTCACCCATAAAATATGAGTTGAAGCAAAAACCCGTACCAGAAATGCTCGTCAGCACGGATTCATGAGAAACAGCAAGAATATAAACTACCCCTCTGAACGGGTGGATCGAAATATTCCCGATAATGGCATCCATATATTTCGATTCATCGACATTTGAAAAACAGTTGGAATAAACTACCCCTCTCAAAGAGTTGATCAGATTTATTCCAGTTCTGGCATCTTCATAGTCTCATTGAATATTCAAATGTTGTTTGATGAAGAAATACGGACCAGAAATACCCGGTCAGCAGAGATTTTTGCAAAACAGCAGTCATAAACTACTCCTCTGAAGGGGTTGATCAAAATTATTCTACTGGTGGCATCTATATATGCAATCTTGAGGACAAATACGAACCAGAAATGCTCGGTCAACAAGGTAACGTTCAAGGTATTGAATGATTGATACTTGAATAGATTCACTAACAAAAACCTGATACAACACCCTCTACAGAGATCAATATCACCCCGATCACAGTCCATTTCCCAGTATGGACAGCATATGTCACTGCCAACAGCACCAACACAAAAGAAGGCTCCTCCACAAATCTCCTGGGCTGGACTCCGTGGTCTTTCTCTCCCTGGTATTCCTCTTGGCGCTACCACGGAGTTAAGCACGACAGATTAGCTTCTGGCTCACTCTGGTTGAACCCAGGGTCTCAGCAGTCTCCTCTAATCCAGATACGTGGCGTCGATAGTATCAGTACCGGGGCATTCTGACTAGTGGAAAGTGGGGTCCTCGATAGACACAACGACAGCACAGAGGAAAAATGCTATAGTTCTAGCATTATCCCACAACCCTGTTATAGAAACAGTCCAATTAACCTCAGGTCACAGCACGTAGAGAATAAAAAAGTCTTCCAGGAATAGATGTGTTTTCATCTAAAATATCACTGACTATAGACTCACCTTCTCAAAAGGGCTAAACCGGCGTCATTGAAGGAAGGACTCCAGGTGACAATATGGCTGCTCCCGCGTGGCGACATCAATTTGGCTCAGATCAACGACGTTGAAGAGAAGTCAATGGCTCCTAAGACTCACTTGAACAAATCCTCTATATATAAATTGATTTTCTGTCTTCTTGTTGCACCAGCAAAAATCTTCAAGTGCCTCTCGTCATGGCCAGTGGACAAAAGCTACAAGATCGGAAATGCCCCCAAAACCTCAGTTTTTCCCTAAATCTGGTAAAAAAAAATTCCCAAATCCATCTTGCCAACACAAGACGTAAGAGGTCACCTTCAGGAAGAGTTCTGTCCGAACGGTGTTACACCAGTCGTAGTTTGGAAAACCCTGTTCTGATTTGCCAATTTTAGAAGGTCACCTTCAGGAAGAGTTCTGCCCGATCAGTGTTACACCAGTGCAATAACATTGTTGACAGAATAGGTGACTCAGGAAGTATGTCAATCTGACAGTGACGTTCTGGACGAAAATAAAACCAATTAAATAAACCTGTCTCTAATAACAAAAATCCAAAAACAGATTCTTCAAACGGGACACGTTCTAATAAAACAGCCAACCTAATGATTCCTGAAATAGCCAAGCACATCCATTCATTATAGTTGGAGAACACCACAGGTAAGTCATGGTTTTTTCTTATATATACTACATGAAAACTAATTGACGTTCAAATTTCAGATTGAAAAAGTTGATATGATGATTTCCAACATGAAAGCAGCAACTTCAGCAGGTATTAACATTAATTTATCTCCATAAAGAGGACACACTGAGTCATCTCCACGAATTTAGTGTGTCTTATTTATGAATTTATTTACTCCACTTTGAGATACCATGGACTTTATCCATAGATTATTGATTTATCTAACTGAAGTTCTGTGTGAAAATTTACATTCTGATGATATATTCACTCGGATATTTACTAGGACAGTATGAGTTGGGCTAACGGAGGAGCAGTGACAGGTCACGCAAAAATTGCGACGTGGGTGGAGCAGGAGATCCCTATCTCCACCCTGAGAGTAAAGAACGCTCGAAATAGGCTGAGATGGAATAGAAGGTTTACCCTTACTATTCCAAGCAGGAAACAATGGAGTTCCGCCCAGGGAGTCTAGTATGTTATACGGACGGACGTCTGCCCTTAACAAATGGGCATACGAGGCACTAGAAGGATATTGGAGGCGTATAGGCGGCTGCAGGCAATCGAGAGACCTTGTGGCCAGTCCAAGCAAGCCAAAGACGGCTTGGTTACTGGGCAGGAATCACCAAGTCCTGCGCCTTCTTATAGGGGTACTGACAGGGCACAACAGGTTACGCAGACACCTATCTGTCATGGGTGTGGAAGATAGTCCCACTTGCCGTGAATGCGGAGAAGACGAGGAGACATCTCTTCACTTCCTCGGAAAGTGTGAGGCGTATGGAAGGATGAGATTCGAAATCTTTGAAGTAGATAAACTACAACAGGAAGATTTGGCCAAATTAGAGTGGACGGACATCCTGACCTCCATCAGAAAGACGGGAAGGTTCGAGAAGGACAAATAAAAGAGGGATGTGTAGATATGTGGAGAGCAGAGGAGTTCGGTTCTGATGCGAGACCGGTACACACGCGATTGTGATTCTCTGTGCAGATTAACTATTTGCGGTAATTACACGGACCTTTTCAATTCGAAATTCAACTCAGTGCAAAATCCACAAAAGTGCATTCTAACTGCTCAATTTCCAGTTCGGCAACTATTCACATAGTCGCGATTCCACGCAACTTTTGTTAATTTCTTCTATAATTTCATAGTGTCTCCTGGAATCCCCAACAGCAAAAAGCAGTATTTAGCTTTTTTGTGGCCCGTTGTGTTTTTGCCCGGGCGAAGGTGTTTTGCCTCGTCTGTCCAGCTGAATTATAGACCAGGAATTCTTCTGTATTTTCGGAAAATGGAATTAAACACCACAGATGGAAACACTGCCAAGGATGCCACACTACAAATCATCCTCCAGCAACTCAATACTCTAACGCAGAGCACAACCGAAATTCGTAATCTTTTGTTAGCTCAAAATGAAAAAATTGAGTCGTGTTTGACCCAGGTAACGGTTTTGAAAGAGGAAACTGACATTCTGAAATCGAAAGTTCACAATCTGGAAATGAAAATTCAAGAGACAAACCTCGAGGAGACATACAATGAAGTGAAAATGCGTTTCGAACGTGAGAAAAACCTAATTATATTTGGTCTGGAAGAAACGGTTCCAGCTAACGAGGTGGAAACGCTCATAAACAATCTAATCTTGCCTCACACTGTAGCCATTAATCATATCACTCGTCTGGGAAAGCATAGAACTGGTGTCAATCGCCTGGTCAAAGTGGAGCTCTCAAGTGCTAAAGACGTGGTTACGGTTTTAAGAAACACGTCCAAAGTTTCCAAAAGCTCGTATCCTCTTATCAGAATCAAGAGTGATAAAACACCAAAACAAATGAAACAATTAGGCGCTCTGTACGATGATCTCAAGGCCCGAAGAGCCAATGGAGATACTAATTTGGCTATTAGATATGTCAATAACATCCCAAAAATTGTCACCGTTTCTGACTATCATCAAGGCAATTCAAAACGAACGCGCGAGGAAGAAGAATCACCAAGACAAAATCAATTGAAAGTAAGCAGATCGTTCAACGGGGAAGTGGCAAGCACAGATACTCGCTCCCAATATTCAAAAAACGGAGTGTGGGGACTGGGACAAATTTGATATTCTGGAACATGCAAGGATACAGGAACATCGATAACTTTCTGCAAGATAATTCTGTTCATTTTGACGTTTTGTGTGTCTGTGAAACCTGGATGACTAATGCAACAGAGGTACCTTCGGGTTTACGTTCTGAGTTCAATATTGTTTCCACTCCGGCAATCAGGGAGAAGTCGAGAGGACGTGCTAGCGGCGGTATTGCAATCTTATACAGAAAATATTTTTCGGTGAGTCTTCTCGATTCCTCTCCCTGGTGGCTTATTTACTTGTTCAAAGATCATTCTTGTGAATTCATTGTATGTTCGGTATATTTCAAGCCATCCTGTGACATTGGTGAAATGCTCGAAATTTTTCGTATTTCTCTAAACTGTATTTTGGATACATACAGCAATCATATAATATTTTTACTTGGTGATTTCAACTGCCATGTTGGCGAGTTGAGCTATATTCCTGAACAAATTTTGGAAAATACTGTTCTTTTTCCTAACATGGTCAGCATGCATAAAGCATCTAATTTTAGAGGTCACTGCCTACTGGACTTTATGGCAGAATACGATTTTTCGTTGCTGAATGGTCATGTTTCAAATGATAGACCAGCAAATTTTACCTTTTGCAATTCCTCAGGGCAGAGTGTAATTGACCTGTGTTATTGTAACTCTAATAAACTTGATATTGTCAACTCTCTTAGAGTGCTAGACGATCAATATTTATCCGATCACTTTCCAGTTCATCTACAATTCAAATTACAGGCAAGTGCCAATAGAACCAAAGATCAGCATAATTTTAATTATACCCGTTTGATTTGGGAGCATGAAAAAGTCAATTCATACATAACGTCTATGCAAAACTCGGCTAACGTGGGGCTTTTGGGGAACGCTGCAGACTCATACACAAACTTGTGCTCCACGATTTGGGTCACAGCTGAAAGTATGGGATCTGTCCAAAAAATGCAGCATAGCAGTACGACGAACACAAAAAATAAACCTTGGTTTGACTCCAGTTGCAAGGAGTTGAAAAAACAACTAAAGCAATGTTTAAGAAAATGTGAACAAAATAATTTTGTCGAGCCTCATAAATCTGATTACTTGAATACAAAAATGGAGTACAAAAGACTTATTCAAAACAAAAAATCGGAATATGACAAAGAGATTATCACAACACTCAGTGAAACAAAAAACCAAGGTGCATTTTGGAAAACTTTGAATTATTTCAGAAATAAGCGGGAATCATGCCCAATCTCTATATTGGAGTGGGAACGTTTTTATGATGAGATGCATATTCCCAAAATTGTTTCGGACATTTGTTTTCATGATGCACGAAATAGTGTTCTAGACCAAACTATATCTCTTGAAGAACTCAATACATCTCTATACCAATGTAAAAATGGCAAATCTCCCGGCAAGGACGGAATTACCTATGAATATCTGAAAAACCTGCCACAAAATTGGCTACTTTACATATGTCGACTCTACAATCAAGTTTTTGACTCTGAAATGATCCCTAGAGCATGGCACGAAACAAGCATCACATTGTTGCATAAAAAAGGCCCCTTTGATGATCCAAATAATTATCGTGGAATTGCATTGATCAACTGCTTAGTAAAACTTTTTACTTTAATACTGTTGAACCGTCTTTCAAATTGGTGCGAAAATAATTCTATTCTTCCAGAATCTCAGTTTGGTTTTAGAAAGAACAGGGGCTGTGAGGACAGTATTTCTGTATTAAACTCTGTTTTACAAATTCACCTTAGGCTTCGTGGAAGGAAAGTTTATGCAGTTTTTGTTGATTTTCGTCGAGCATTCGATAGCATTAATCATAATCTACTATGGCTGAAATTGTATAGAGTAGGCATAAGTTCGAAAATTATCAGGATCATAAAAAATCTCTATGATGGAGCATATTTTTCAATAAAACAAGATAACATGTTCAGCAAAAAATTTGACATTTCTGAAGGAGTCTTACAGGGCGAATCGTTAAGTCCCCTTTTATTTCCTCTTTTCATAGCTGACATTGAAGACTACTTTCGGACACACGGCTTAACAGGACTAAATATTGATGGAAAAAACGACATATTGATGTTATCATATGCTGATGACATAGTTATTCTTGGTGATTCCCCAGTAGACCTATCGCGCAAACTGAAAGTTCTGGAAAATTATGCTTCAGATAATAAACTCGTTATAAACACGAGCAAAACTAAAGTTATGGTTTTTTGTAGAGGAGGATATATCAGTAACTATAACCAAAGATTCACTTGCAATGATCATGTCTTAGAAGTTGTAAGAAACTTCACATACTTAGGGACAGAATTTTCTTCATCATCCTTGTTTCTAGAAATGGCCAAAAGAACGGTCATGAAAGCCAACCAGGCAATTGGATCTGTAATGAATTTAATGTTCCGTTCAAAAGTCAATTCTTGGTCATCGAGAATCAAACTATATGAATCTATTGTGTTGTCCTCGTTATCATATGGTATTGCTATCTGGGGCCTTCGTTACGCGGATATTATAGAGCGTGTTCAAGTGCGTTTTTTCAAACGCTTACTTTGTTTGCCAAAAAATACTCCAGACTATATTATACGCATAGAAACTAGCTGCATTAAATTATCATACATTATATTCAAATCTTCGTTATCTTGGCTCAACAAATTGAAAACCATGGAAAACAACAGACTTTTCAAAATTTGCTATATACGTCTACTTGATTTAGAGAGAAATGACATTAGATTTAATTGGCTTTCGCAGGTGAAAGAATACTTTATATTTGCCGATTGTGAGAACTTATGGCAGCGCTTTCTGAACTATAACTCGAAAAAGCTCACGAATGATATTCTGGACAAATTCAAGGAAAAGCTAATTTTGCTCGACTCTGAGAGACTTGCAAGTTCTTCGTACTCACTCCTATACAATGGTTTAACAGTTTCCGAACCTTCAAAATCCTACTTGAGTATTCCCTCACAAATTTATATAACACGCATTATTGCTCAAATCAGAACTTCCAGCAAAAAGTCGTTAATGTTTTCGTTTCACGGTTCCTTTTACCACATAGACACAACTGAGATGTGTTCAATTTGCAACTTACAAGCAACCGAGTCTTTGCATCACATCCTATTTGAATGTCCTATCTACTCAGGCATAAGGCAAAATGCGATTCTGTCGGAAATCGGCGATATTGATGGTCTAGTACTTCTACTCAATACTCACAATATTTTACACTTAGCAAATCTTGTGAAGTCCCTGATGAATATTATGAAGTTACGATCGTTCATTATGAATGAATGACTGTTAAAAATGTGGCTATTAGGTATACTTAGGAACTTGTATAACTCTGTAATGTGTAATGTACCTACATTAGTTACTCAACTTATGATCCATGTGGAATCATGTTTGCATACCGAGCCCTTGTGATAAAAATGTAATTTTTTATAACACAATAAAACTATCTATCTATCTATCTATGTGGAGAGCAGAGGTTGGCAAAAAGGCCCATGGGGGCCTACTTGCCTGGCTACAGCCTCCCAACAATACTACTACTACTACTACTACTACTACTACTACCAGGACAGTATAGAAATTATCAACAAAACATTACTCAGGGAGTTTAAACGCTACAAACTAATTCAACTCTCAGTATTCTAGTGACAACTGTCGATTAGAATTATATGATCAATTCATGGAATGTATCAATCATCCATTCACATGAATTAGTAATGATGTGATCTATCAACTTTTGTTACATGAACTGGAACAAATCAATGAGTAGATGTCCATCAGCATCTCATTATCATTAGTAACTGCTTAGGGTTGATATGCCTCAATTGATTTTATTCGCACTGTCCAATATAGGATGGATTCCAAGGTGCTGTCGGTTCGCATTCGACAATCGGCTGAGCATAAATAAATTTGTGGTACTGGTTCTGATTTTCGCAGCATTTCGATGCTCTCGAAGTGGTTCGAAATCAACTATCAGCTCAAGGTCCCGCTCTTTCTAACCAGGCACAAGTTTAGACTTCAAAGTAGCGATGTACAAACTTTATGAATTCCTACAAATCTATTACTCTGGAGCGACTGAGAAGCTGTGTCAGTAGACAATCCTAGATTCTGATAATCTTCCTCATAGCTTGTGTTTATAATCGCTACATGGAAAGGAAAGTGTGATTGAGAAAGCAAAATTTCGTGTCCTTAGGAATTACAATATGATGCATCACTTTCACATTGATTCCATAACTGAATATGCAGTGATAGATACTATGAACTTATTGAAAGATAAAACATCGTCGGGGCTGTATGGGTTGTCGATAGTAACAGTCAAATAAATTGGGTGTTGATGGTATGGATCATCATTTGACGTAATTATTCATTCGGACGCATTCACAAAAATACTTTCAGATTGAGTTGTGGCACAAGAACGTATTCTGAGTATATAATCTTCAATTTGCACTTCTTGAAGAGTCGCAATCTGATATTTATAGAAAAAATAAATACTGTTAACAGGTCCTCCAGTAGATATTCTGAAATGTTCCACTTTTACTATGGGTAATTTACTAGAGCTATAAATAAATTCAATTGTACACAATAACAATACAAGGCGTGGTGACTTCAAATGACAATACTTCCAAATACCAAAATTCTCCATTATTCAATGCGACCTTCCTTCACAATGAACTGCCAATTTCAATGAATAATTATTATTATCTTCGACAAAAATTTCGATAGTACTCGGTAAAATACCTGTTATCATAGAACTCATAGAAGCTATTCTGAAGTGGAGAATCTATATTCAATTGTATTCATAAGTATTAAGTGCAATTATTGTGTTTCTTACTGTCTACATACCATAGTATGAACTGAATGTATCACAATGCTGAATGAACATTTATCTGCCTATCAATATATCTACACCCACGACGAAATACCTGTTACTGTAAATAACATCCAATCGCAAAATTTACGAGAGTGACATGATTCTTGTCAAAGTAGCGCACCACGAACTCATAAGTGTAACAATGTTATATCTGGAAGAGGGCTGCGCGATATCAAATTTCACATATCGATTATCGATAAGTCGAAACATCGATATATCGATAAATATATCGGTAGTAATCGATATATCTATATTTTTGAAATCATATATCGACATAGCGATACATCGATACATCGATTTCTTTCCACGCCTAACTCAAAATGACCATATTTGATATCTCAACCAAAGGTTATGGAATCTTCAACCAAACTGATTAAATCAGCATCAAAACTACCCGCCTACCAACCTACCTACCTAACTACCCACGAAATATATTTTCATGTCTGAAGAAACCTAACGAATAAAAATTGAAATTTGTTCCAGAACCATCATTACTATGGTCCGGATAATTCCAACATAGTTATCGATAGTTATCGATAGTTCTTGATAAATATCGATATATCGATAGTTATCGATATATTGATATTTTTCCCAGGCCCCTGGAATGAGAATAAGCTGTCATGATAAATGTGATTTATTAAATCATTTCTCCATTGGGATAGATATAAGGAGCCCCCAAACACAACTTACATTGTTTCAATTTTGTTTCTTTTGGTTAGAAAGATAATGATTTGATGATATTTGTAGAATCAGCATGAATACCCATTCGGATGGAAATTACAAATGTCCTTATTCTTAGCTCCAGTTATTCTGACATCTCTCCAGTTCCAGTTGGAACACGAGCCATCACCGCAGTTGATATAAACTCCTACTGCGCTTCTACCAGTTACAGTACCATAAATATTGTCTAAAGTCAAATCATCGATTCGGATGTTGTTTCCTGGCTGGCCATTTCTCAAGTAATCCTGGCGGAATTCGATTGCTCTCTGAGTGACATCTGAAGGTAATATCAATATTTTCGAATAACATAATAGTAAAGTACTCATCTTCAAGAAAATGTAGTTATGTTATCTAGTAGCAAAGTTTCAAGATTAAGATCACGAGATCGCACCATACATAGTATGTCATCTATATTCAACACGTGAAGATCCTTACGTGTACACGTGATAGATGGCAGCGTCATACTGTGTATGGATTGATAACGTGATCCTAATCTTAGAACTATGCCACTAGACGGCAATCACATGACTAGATTTTCTAGGAGATGGGTACTCATTATTTTATGCCTGGAAAGAAATTTGAACATGTACTTTTGTCACTATAAAATGGCACGTCGAACATCTAACCTCATAGATGGAAAACTTCCAAAAACACATCTGTTCTGATATCATTATCGACAATAGTGAAATTGGATGAAATGAATATAAGTAGCAGATAGTTTGCTCAAATGATTCGATAAATAGTCTGTTTATACATGCTAGGATATAATTAGTCAGCTATCAATCATTATTCATTCCTGACTCGAGAGGTATCATAGATGATACCTGTGGAGTCAAACTTTAGCTACATCCTTTCGTTGTCAACCTCGAAAGATGTCGAACAGCACTTTATCAAGACTCCTTCATCCATAGAACGGCTAGGCTCTGGAATTCATTGCCTGTGGAAGTATTTCCAACAACATATAATCTCCAAAAGTTCAAAAAAAATTCCAATACCTACCTCCTGTCCCTATCCTCCCTAGGAACGCACGATGTTCTTTGAACATTATAGGTATTCCCTTTCGTGCGCTCCAAGCGATAAAAAAAAATCATATTTTATTGTGAAATTCACAGATACAGAATCCAAAGAAATCGCAAATAATTTGGACTTGGATGAATCTGACTTGAATGGAAATTTGTTTGAGGACGACAACCATGATTGGGATGAACTAGACAACCCAATTGATGTTCGACTATTGGGAGCCAGTGAAAATAGAATGGTGGTTGGTATTGACCTCTAGTGGATTTGATGCCGAGAGAAAAAAAAGGAAATGGTGATGGAGTAATTTTGGCCCTCAACATGGAAAATATTTGCCATGTGTTATACGATATACTTCGGACCCTGAGAATAGTTTCAATCAATTCACTAACTTCAACAAAAACACTACACTATGCCAAGATTCTCAATGTTTTGGTGGTTGGACACCAGGGTATAATACCAATAGTTTCAGACATCTCATCATGAAATCGTTTTTTCACCCTCCGAACGCGGATCAAACTTGTTCATCATGATGTTGTATCAAAAGAAGCTGAAATTTCATTGTCTGAGTCTAGACCCATGGTGAGTGATAACAACATTCTTGAAATTCATAATAGTTTCGTTTTCGGCCCAAGGCGGATAACTGACCTAGCATAACAATTAACATTATTCTGAATGTAGATACGGAATCAACTAAGGAAGCCATATAGGAAATCATTGAAATCTGGCTGGAATGAATTTTCCGCGAATTATATTTGATTTCGATAATGAATTCGAATATATGAAAATTCTACGTAAGGACCAATAATTTTTTGTAATAAACATAAAAAGAGGAATTTATCCCAAAAAAACTTTCACTAGTATGATAATACAAGTTCCTGAAGATTTTTTCAGTTTTTCTTATTATACGATTAGATAACATGATGATTGTAATGGTAGGTCAGTTACACTTACATGAACATGTAAAACACCCTTTCCATCCCTGATACAAATTCATTCAAGTTTCAGGTCATGAGAGTGATCAAGAAATATTACTACGAGGATATCAAAGACAAAAACAACAATTATATCTTGATCCCGTGAAGATTCATTATATTTTCATTTCTGCTGATATTTCATTCGACAATTGATGGAAAAAATTGAAATAATAATTCATTACAGAATAACTAGAATCGTGCCAGAATGTTTGTCAACGATTTCCTATAGTATTCTTTCCGTAGACAGATAACATCAGATTTTTGATAATTATTATACAGTGTGAGTTATGCTCACAATAACTAACCTAACCTGACCGATCGAGAGCTAACAAATTATGTCGAGAAATTCTATAAGTTATTTCACTGAGTCAAAGTTTAGACCAGGATAGTTTGCGAATTACCTCTACTCCAGACGAATTTATAACCCTAGAATAAGAGGATGAGAGAGAAATACAGCGTACCTATGCCTCATATCATTGACGATTCAATAGGAAAATGGGAGCATTCATCAGTGATTCGTTGAAAGTTATTCAACAGTTCCATGATATGCTCAGCTTCTATGTAATTGAAATCATCGTAGGCATATCATGAATTACTTCATGAAAAGAAAGGAAAGGGCTAGCGTGTGTGTATGAGGCGCCGGTATGAAATTTCTCGAGCAAATTGGATAAGACAGATCAAATATCCGATGATGATAGGGGCTCATCCAGTAATATAGAGATTTCGATGATCGTGCTGAATGATCTTATTGTGAGAATATCGATATGCATGAATATACTAGTTCCACATTCCATCTAATAAACTGACCTATTTATTAAAGATTTAGTAAAAGCAACTTAACAGTACAGTTGATTAAAAGTTGACTTGAGGAAAGTAGTTTTTTGATGAACTCACATCAAGAATTCGCATTCCCTATGATTCATTAACAGGGAAACACCATACTCCACCAATTTGTCAGACATTTACAATAATCGGAATGAGGAAATATGGAATATACAAGACTCACCTATGATATTGATATTTCTGTACGTTATTTGACTGATTGTTCCTCTGCCACCAGATGGCAATGTCAAAATATGAATACCGTTCAGGGATCCCCCAATGGAACAATCCTTGAAAGTTACATTATGAATATCATTATTTTCATCAGTGTTAGAGAGCCCTGAACTGAAACTCAGACCATGAGATCCCCAGCAGTGGACGTTCCTGATAACTGCGTTGCTGCTTGCCATAATGTTTATACAGTCGTCTTGGTTAACAATCTTGGAGTTTTCGATAAGAATGTTGTCAGAATACACGAATCCCATCGCATCGGTGTTCACGGCTAATCCACCCTAGAATTGATTGGATAATTTCGATGAATAAATGTTTGATCTCGATAATCAAAGTAGGTACTCATATTATATTATTATATTTTCTAGATGATATATCATGAAGAAATGATCAAGTTTCAATTATTGATCTCGATGAATGGTATGAATTAAAACGAAGTAAATCCTGATGCTACAAATTGGAGGATCTACTTCGAGTATTCACTCCATCACGAAGCATCTAGTCGGTTCCGGTAGTGTTTGGTCAACATCGAAATACTTTTATTATTATCATTGTTAATTATTGGTATTATTAGTATTTACTTCTGAACGTTATCAACATATGCGTAGCATACTGCAGAATGCTTTGAGCATGAGTCATCATCGAAGCTATCACTTCAGTATGGCACATTTGATTTTCATCTTCTCGGCTTCAAAAAAATTGACATGGAATTCAGAATGCTACGCATGAAATCGAACTTTTCGCGTGGGATATACCCCTATTCTTTTCTTCGATAATAATCATAACATCAATGTGCTACTTCCTCTTCAATTTATTCATTTTGCTAAATTTTTTTCATATTCAATCTGGGTTGCATTCTCAAAATCATAATCATTGACGACCGTCTTGCACTAATTTTTTTTTCTGCGTGTTCCATCAATTCTCGAACAAATCTAACCGAATCTGTTATCAGACTAACTCAGCTGAAGTCAGGCAAATAATAATAATAACACTCAAATGCCCCATCAACGTCCAAACTTTAAGAGGAGAAGAACTGAAGCACAAAGTAGCACTGCTACTGCTGAGCAAATTGGGCAAGCCACCAGCTATGATAATAAGCTAGTCAGCATGATAAAAAATATCACTCCTCTCAGAAAATACTCGAAGGAGATGCTGAGTGCTGAGCAGCTTACAGCACTAGAAGACGCCATCGTACAGGAGATGTGACTGGGCGAGAAATATAAAACCCAATTCGGGAAAATTCACTTCCGCTCCAATATGCTCGTTGTATTTTGGGTCAACCAAGACACATAGGACTCCTACAGGGCAAATGCCTCCATTCTGAGGACCTGGTAAGGTTCTGAGCTGATTATGTGCCTCGGTGTCATTTCCTAGGAACACGTACTTCGAACCGGAGAATTCGCTTACCCCTTTAAGCACACAAAATCAAGACTTCGTACCAGCTGTGGAAAATACCAGAGAGTGGAAAGTGGAGCAATGGTCAGCTGCTCAATTCTGGAATTGACGACGAGTGTTGTCATCAGGAAAATGGGATACACCATACTCTGAAGGTTGAGGAAAATTTCCCGTTCATAGCTTTGGCAAGGACTCGAGTGAGAAGAAGAAGGAAGAAAAGGCGAGCAAGACACCAGCCTCAGCTGGCGCAGAAACCACTGTGGCCAGCGAAGCCGATTTGAATGAGGATACGGACCAGGACACTACGGTCACTCCCAGCGAAGAAGAGCTCATGCTTCTAAATGATGAGAAGGAAAGCACTCCAACTCACAAGCAGCCATTGCTAATACACTCCCAGTCAGGTTCGCCCAGGTGAATACTCATCACGCTAAGAAGGCATCAGCTGCCTCATCGAGAGTGTTCACTGTGGCATATTTGAGAAATTTGTTGATTCAAGAACCTTGGGTCAACAGGGGACAGATCAGAGGACTGCCTAATGAAGAAGGTAAGGTTACCTGGGATAAAAAGTGTGACAATTATGTTTGTCTTCCGGAATTCATGATGAATGATTACACCTCGACTGAGTATGAGCTTCGGGATATTTTGCTGAAAATGGGCGAGCACCACCAGAATAAGAACAGAAGCTATCTGACTATTGCTGTAGAAGCAATCCACCTCTCCTGCTGGGCTGTGACGCCAATGCTCACAATACCATCTGAGGCAGCATGGACACCAATCAAAGAGGTGAGGAACTGCCAGACTTCATACATGCGGCTAGCTTGAACATACTTGATGTGGGGTGTACTTCAACCCCTGTTACTGGGGCTAGACAAGGAGTATCAGATTCAACACTCGGCAGCCCGAGCATTAGTAGAATGCTGAGGAACTAGGGGGTCTCAGACGAACCTTCATTTCGCGACCACAGAATTATTGTGTTCAACAATCCTCATTAGAAATCCTGAAAAAACATATTGAGATGAATACATCACCAATCTAAGGTGCAATTCAGAACAGATCGAGTTCAACCACATCAGTCTCGTCGAATTTGAGCAGACATTGGAAGCGGTCGAAGATACAATAATGGATGCATTCAAATCCAGCTGCCTTATCAGAAAACAATAACACAGTGATACCATTTGGTGAAATAAACACCTGTTAAATTTGAAATACGAAGTCCACTGGCTCTTCAACAAAGCTAAGCAGGACGGAGACTGACAGGGCTACACCCGAAGATTGATAAATCATAACAAAGAAATAAGAGAAGCCAATAGGAGCAATTTCAGGAATTGTCGCGATACCACCACCAGATTTCACAAATCTATAGCGATAGGCAGGACCAATGTCACTCAAAAGAGAAGATCAAAGCCCGCAGACGATGGAGAGCAGTGAGCTCTCCTTCTACTGGAAACGCACTTTCCAGGCAGCACACCACATGATCCCCACAGGCCAATGGTCAAACCAAGCAAAGCACAACAAGATGACTGAAGAGTAGCAAAAAATATATTCACTGCTCAAAGGTTGGAGTAGGCAGATAACTCCAATCATTCAAGTCCCCTGGAATCGACACCATATTTTTGTCTCTCTGACAAAACGGCGCACGGAATGACTGCCGTACATTATCAAAGCAGCTAGATTCAGTTTAGCGCTCGAGTATATGCCAAGCAATTGGAGGAGGGCACGAGTAACTTTCTTCTCTGAAGTAGGGAAGAAGGACCTCACCCTTCCAAAGTCATTAAGACCGACTTATATCTGGAAACGCTGATAGAGGCCGTAGATAATTATATCAGAACCGAGATACAGAAGAGGGTGCCACTGCACCCTAGACAGCACACATATTGGGCAGGCAGATCGGCGGAAACCGTTCCATTCGTGTTAACAAAAGACATCCAAGAATCACTAGAGCATGAAGAACTGGCCATGTTTCCTTAGATATTGAGGGAGCATTCGACAATATCTTTTCTGAAGCAATTGAAAGGGCCTCATGAACTAGGGAATTGACCGAACCACAACCGAGTGGATTCGTCAAATGCTGACAACAGGAACTGCTGAAACGAGAGTGGGTGAGTACAGTTTTCAGATCAGCACAAGGTAGGGGCTGTCCACAAAGACGGGTACTATCACCCTTGATGCAGAGTCTCGTAGTAAATGAACTACTCGGAATACTGACCAGAAACGGTCACTTGCCTTGTTTATGCTGACGACATGGCCACCATGGCCCAGGGTACACTCGAAGGAACCCTCTGCGATCTCATAGGTAGAGAGGTAGTAGAGGTGGTGGCTCTCGGTGGGGTTGGGGATCAACTTATCAAAAACCTCAGTGGTAATTATCACCAGAACAATGAAACAACAGCCCTTGAGGATTGTCCGTCTCGACGAAATAGATTCAGATTGCTATCAAGAGGTGAGGTATCTCTGGCTCATCTCAGACGCAAAATTGTCCTGGAATCGACACGTAAAAAAGATTGTCAGCAAGGCAAAACGTCCACTGATGGTGTGCAGGAATATTGTAGCAGAGACATGGGGTGGCAACCCATCAATACTGCAATGAATATATACAATGATAGTAAGACCCTTGATCATCAATGGAGCTTTAGTTTGGCACGGCAAAACTGAATTTGCCACTAGAAAAAAAAATAGAGAAGGTGCAGACTCGCATCCTGTCTGACAGCCAAGCATCCATCAACGCGTTGAGCTCCTTCAATATCAACTCAAAGATTGTTTGAGAATGCCTAGGCAAACTTGATCATCTAGGCAGGGACAATGGGGTGATCCTTTTATGGGTGCCGGGGACACATCGGAGTGGAGGGAAATAAACCAACAGATCTTCTGGCACGAAAGGAGCATCAACGCTACTGATCGGACCAGGACCATTCTGCGGCCTTGAAATGTATCATTTCCAAGAGAAACTCAATGAAGCTGAAGAAGTAATGAGAGTAATAGCTCTAATAACACAAGATGTCTATTGGATATCCGTATTGTGTCTATTATATTGTCACGAGTAGAACATTCAGTATATTAGTAATTTGTAACCATGAGGGTTTTATAAACATAAAATTATTCAAATCATCAATCGACATTGAACTATGAAAACTGACCAAGGAACTCTCATGAGAAACGTGCAAATCTAATAAAATGATGTATATAAATATTGGATATGAGGGTTCCGAAGTTAGTCTGGTCTGGGGCTACTCTTGACTTGACAAGAGCTCGTCGTTATGGTCTCTATAATGTAAGTTGTTATTAGGTCTTTATATTCATTGTCGATTCTTCATATTTGTCATCACTTCACCCATAATGTTTCATGCTATAATAAATATTGTTATGTTTGATAATAATCTCATACTTCCAGATACCCCTAAATTATTAGTGCCTATTTGAATATTACCTCTCTCAAAATATCAAGCCAAGCTTCACCCCTTATAAATCAATATTAATCGATATGGGTGGAAACAACTCTTTTGTTGAAATATTACCTCTCGCCAACCATTCTGTTTTGTTTTGTGGAGTGCCTATTCTAATATTACCTCTCACCTCCACCTCTTTTGTTGTGACATGGTGGAGGCGCCTAAGCTTCTTTCCTTGAGTCGCATTCCTCATAATGGACTCATTATTTCAATAATTTTTAATCATTAATTCCAGTCAATTTTATATTTCATACAAAGGCACTAGTGAAAAGGGTTATCTGAGAGTAATTAAGTATAGCAGCATGAATTATGGGTGATTACAAAGTAAGAAATTCATTCAAATTAGAAATCCTTAATTTTTTCAATATTTTAAATACCATTCAGCTTGGGAAGTTGAATAACAAGCATTCCATTTCTATTCAGAGACATGATATAAAGCACCGGACCAGACTCACAAAGTTTGGAGCTTATCTCTGAACTTTGTTATTTTTTTTTCTCTACTCGTAATTTTCTATTTGAATTTGGGAACAAGTTTTTCCTATATCTCATTCTTGCCAGTTTTTTATTTTTCATATCAAGATAATTTCAAATATTTTAATTTTTAGTTGATAAAATCATTCAAGGAATGCAATGCCATTGCCATGAACACTCAATTGAGAATATAATAAGTCATTCACAACGTGCCTATAGTTTTATAACAATACGAAATAAAAACAATAACAAATCATCGTGCTCGATATTATTCATAATAAATTTCAATATTAGTGCGAATGCGAATAATTTATAATTCAAGTAATAGTTGAGAATGTTTCGATTAAAGATATCTTAGTCAGTATATATATGACCTTTCAAATATTGAAAATACTCTTAAACGTTGGTATCGTTTACCATTTTTTGTCATTCCTCCTGAAATGAATCATACGCAAATATGATATTATTATATGTTATGGAAATATGATATGAAATGAATTAATTGAGCTAAAGAATAATGAAGTGTATGTAAACTCTCAATGAAGAGATTGTTACTTGGTTTCAAGTGGAAACCGTTTTCGTACAGAATAATCATCACCCTATTCAGCATATCTCGTGGTCCTAGCCAAACCACATTCAGAGAAGTAGCTGTTGGGTTGATATTCTGAAAAGTACGAAGTGTTATAGTTGGAATTATGCACTATAACAGTAAATAGGAGGGAATCCTGGAAGATGTGCCACACTAAGGCATGAAGGATTAACCTTACTGAAGATATTTTGTCCTCGAATTGATAGGACATGAAATGATGATTTAATGTGAAATAATGAGCTCGTATATGATGATTATATATATTTATGAATTATGGAGATTATTATAATGATATTTACCCCCGGGGA